ACTATTTGCTAGGCACAATGCTATTTGATAGGGCAGGTACTGTTATCTTCATTTTACAGAGTGAGGAAACCTATGTACAGTGAGATGGGTAACTTGCCCAGGTGTACAGAGCTATTTTGAGTCTTGGCTACACCACTATAGTATAGGAAAGCAAAGTGCTGTGAAAACACACATACGGACTGATGCAGACTATGGGTGCCATAGAAGGTTTCTTAGAGGAGGGAAGGTGGAATGTATCTGTAAATATGCATATGATTTCCATTGTTAATGATCACAAGTACTCCTTCCATGAACATCTGTGCAGGTAACCTTCCATTTTGTAATCCTGCTGCCACTCTCTTCCTTTGCTTAGATTCTAAGAAGTAGAATTCTGGGACAAAAGTTATAGAAATACTCCAAGGCTTTCAATATGTTATGCCCATAGTTGTCACCAGCTTCATCAGGGTATACTTTACTATAGCATTGCCAGTAGTGGGCATTATTACTTCAAAAATTCTTTGCCATTAATAGAAAACTAGTATTTGATTACTCAGCTGAACATTTTTCCATCAATGCTGTCTTTAACACATACATTTAAGATCTTTATAGTTACAACCAGCAGAGTATAAGAGAACATTAACAGTGAAAGAACATTCTAGAATGTCTCATATTATAAATACCATAATTTATTCCTATAATCACAAAATTGACTGGGTCACAGTTAGCAATATTCAAAGAAAACAAATTTTGGTATTCATGCTAAGATCTTTGACCTCTCAAACTTACTATGAATTCTAGGAGTACAGCAGAAATGAGTTGTTTGATCCTATCACAATCCAGCAAGTAAAACATGTTCTATAACTGTTTGCTATAACAATAAATAAATAAATAAATAAATAAATAAAATAATGGATAATGACAAAATATAAACTGAAGCCATACTTTCTGAGAGAAGTAGCATGTTCCCCTCTTTCTCTTCTGGCCATATAAATAGGATAACAATATATTCCAGTTTGCATGTGACAGTTCTGGTTTATGCCTCTTGTCCTAACATCTTTTCTGATTAGAGCTGCCTTTCGAAGTGTGTTTAATTGGGCAATAAATTTTATGGTCACTCTGCATCTACAGGATATCCCCCTAATGAAGAGCTGATCTTAGGAACAAAGTGCTCACTGATCAGACAACTTGTCTTTGTGTCACTCGGATTTTCACTTTGAAGACCTATAGCCAGATACCTCATTTGGCTTTTACGTATTTTCATAGTATTTTATCATCTGAAGCCAAATAATAATCTGAAAGTAGTTAATTGATAAGGGCATCCTTGACTATATCAGCACTCTTTATTTCATTTTATTGATAAAAGAAGTCAGGCATGGAAAGAAAATGTGGCTTATTCAGGCTCACATCAAGTAAAATAATCAGCCATATGAGAGGAAGCTACTGAAGCTCTAACTTCTGATTTTTGATTAATTATCTAAACCACACAGTCATTAGTATGCAATGAAATCTCCAGTGTAGTTAGATCAGAAAAAATTCAATCATTTAGTAAATGGCTTTACAAACTACAGGCAGTAATAATCTATTTCAAACGATATGAGCAAAATCATAGGCATACCTTAGATAATGCTTTTTCCTTTTTCTTTTTTTTCCCTCAGTACCCCTTGGATAATATTTTTAATGGGTATAAATTTCATAGTTAATAATATTTCAGTCTTATTGAGTAAAAGTCTCTGTTCAAACCTAGTTGACAGGTCCAAGCTATCAGAAGGTGAGGAAATACTTATTTATAAAATAAGTGAAAATTTTAAATAAACATTATCTTTTTGGTTATTAAAAAATAAAGCTTGTTATATTTTTACATTTCACAAGTATGTCTAAATTTCATACAAAGATGCACAATAGATAAGATTTTACAAATATCTTGGACTACATCAGAAAATGTTAATGGAGCTAATGAAGTCACTTCCTATAACAACAACAAAGAAACATGGGGATAAATTTAAGACTATGACTAAGAACCATATGAAAAAAAGTGACTCTACTGCTTGCATAAAAGGAGAGGCATACCATATATGAAGTTGGAGAACCTCACTATTACAGATATGACATTTCCATATAATTTATAAACATATTGTAACATCAGTCAAGATCCCATTTGCATTTTGTAGGGGTGGAGTAAAGACCTTGGTAAAAAATCATTTAAAGTTCATTTGGAGGTTGGCTGGGCGTGGTGGCTCATGCCTGTAATCCCAGCACTTTGGGAGGTGGGTGGATTGCCTGAGGTCAGGAGACCTCAGGCGAAACCTCATCTCTACTAGAAGCACAAAAAAAACCTCATCTCTACTAGAAGTACAAAAAATTAGCTGGGCATGGTGCACGCACCTGTCACCCCAGCTATGCAGGAGGCTGAGGCTGGAGAAATGCTTGAACTCAGGAGGTGGAGGTTGCAGTGAGTCAAAATCGCACCACTGCACTACAGCCTGGGCGATAGAGCGAGACTCCCTCTCAAAAAATAAATAAATAAATAGATAAAATAAAGTTCATTTGGAGGAATACATTTTAGGGACTAACCAAGAACACTTTTGTAAAGTATAAATAAGCTATAATAATAAAAACAGTATTTTGCTGGCACAGATCAATGGAATAAAACAGGAAGTTCAGAAACAGGCAAGGACGTATATAAGTATTCAATAAATGAGAAAGAACAATGAAAGGATGGAAGGATTTAACCCATTTAGCCATGGATTTAGCCATTTAAATAAAATGTTTATTATTAATAAACAATATTGTGATAGCAGGCTAAATCTATACCTCACACTATATGTCTAATAAATTCCAGGTGGACTGAACATTTCAGTGTATGAAAATGAAAACAAAATATTTGGGGAAGGCTTTTCTATGTACAACTTCCAGGACATAATTTTTTTTTAAGACTAATAGATTTGTTCACATAAAACATAATACTCATTAAAATAAATGTGTATTAAGGATATCAGCCATTTTTCTGTCATTTATAGTATAATTACTTGCATTTATTTCTTTTTAAATTTCATTTAGCTTATTTTGACACAAAAATTTTAAAATCTATAAGAAGTTAAAAAAATAAAATTTGTATTTACAGTTTCCTTCTTGGATTTTGGTCTAGAAATGACTTTCTTAACCCTAAACCAGACCTATTTTCACTTATATTTTCTCCGAATTCTTTCATCGTTTCATATTTTATGTTAATTTAAAATATGAGAGATAAATATGGCTCTGTCTCATATTAGTTGTCTGGCTTGGGGATGTTACTTAACCTCTCTGAGTCTCAATTTCAGTTTCCTAAAAAAAACAGATATAACAAATACCAGCCTATTGGAATTGCTATGGCAATGAAAAGAAATCATTTATACAACACATGTGTCATGGTAGAATCTGGTTAATAAAGGTGACCAAAATGTTAGCTATCACTTTTAGTGCTACTGTTACAGTCAGTAGCTAGTCGGGTATGATCAGGGCAGGAAAGGGCTCCCATACCTCACACCAGGAGTATCGGGAGACCATCAGATGATGGTCAGGTGGTTGTTAACTAGCTCTCTGAAGTAATAATTGGTCACAGCTGGCACCAGGGAAAGGTGGTCTCCTAGTAGATCGAAAACAACTAAAACTGGTGACGAGTGGCTTCAAGATCTCAGGAGTTGGGCGAGTGGTCAGAAGTAATGCAAGACCCTGGAGGTATGCCACCATATAAAAACCCCAAGTCAAAAAGTCAAGCCATACACTTGTCTTTCAAGTCACCTGCTTGGCCCTCTTCCAAGTGTACTTTCCTTTCTTTTGTTCCTGCTGTAAAGCTTTTAAGTAAACTTTCACTGCTGCTCTAAAACTTGCCTCAGTCTCTCCTTCTGCCTTATGCTTCCTCAGTTGGATTCTTTCTTCTGAAGAGGCAAGTACTGAGGTTGCTGCAGACCCCTATGAATTTGCCATGGGTAACACTATCACACTGTATATTAGACTCCTCCCCTGCCCTTTTAGAGGCAAAGTCTCACTATGATGTCCAGGGTGGAGTGCAAGGGCTATTCACAAATGCAATCATAGCACACCATGGCCTTGAACTCCTGGCCTCAAGCAATCCTCCCACTTAAGCCTCCCAAGTAGATGGGACTCCAGGTGAATGCCACTGAGCCTGGCTGGACTTCTTAATTTCATTGGAAAACAGTTGACCCTTGAACAGTGCAGAGGTAGGGGGTACCTATCCCCTGCACAGTGGAAAAATCTGCATATAACTTTTGATTCCCCAAGAGCTTAACTACTAATGCTGTTGACCGGGGGCTTCACTATTAACAAAAAGTCGATTAACACGTAAATAGGCTAGTATCTACCTATATGTTACGCATTCATAATATACATATTTTTTTCTTTTATTTTTGGTATTTCTAGGCTACAAAGTTCACCCTAGAGTTTTTTCAAATTGCCACAAATCTCCAAAAAACTTTCTAATATATTTACTGAACAAATGAATATATAAGTGGACCAGTACAGTTCAAACGTTGTTCAAGGGTCAACTGTATGTATTTTCATGACTAGCAATTTATGGTGATGGTATAGCCATCTGATGTAAAAACAAATTTCACACCATTTAATTATTTTAAAATCATAATGTATGCCAACCAGAAAAAATACCTACATTCTTTGAAGGCTATACAGCATACTACAAATTGGTCTTTGAAAGCTGCAGTCCAAAATCATCAGGTGGCCAAGGAACAGAGTCATCCAAGGGGAACATTACACACCAGGACCTGTCAGTGGGTGGGGGCTGGGGGAGGGATAACATTAGGAGATATACCTAATGTAGGTGATGGGTTGATGAGTGCAGCAAACCACAAGGGCACGTGTATACCTATGTAACAAAACTGCACTTTCTGCACATGTAACCTAGAACTTAAAGTTAAATAATAAAACAAAAAGTTTTCTTACACATTAGAACTTCTGAGATAATTTACGAGCTTGAAATATAAATAGGATGTTTACCTTCGTTATCTTACCTCTAATAGGCCATCCTCTGGCAGATCAGTACAGTGAACAGCGTTCTGGATCTTAGTTTTACCAAAGATTGCTCTGAGAGTTCCAGGGCGTAAATGCCGGGCAATTTCCTATTAAACATACATTCACATATAGATTAAAGTTAGTCATATGGTATAAATAAGAAAAACACTAGCTATATGAAACATTAACTTATTTATGAAATACATGTTACATATAGACAGTGCTTATAAGGGTTTTTCTGTGGCCCAATGTAAAGTCTGCTTTCATCTACATCAGGGAAAAATAATAATTGCATTTCTTTTTATCAGTAGATTTTGGGAATCACACAAAATGTGAAGCTAGTTCATTACCGTGAAAGACTTGTATTTTATAAAGACAGTAGAGATCTTAATAACTTTGATTTAAAATGAACCAATTTGATGCTATCAATTTCAAAATATTTTTTAAAAATGTTAGCTGTATCAACTTAGTAGTACTCTTTAGGGGGAAAAATATGGTCACAAATAGCCCTGAATTTAATGAGGGTTAGAGAGAGGCAAGGGAATGATAATGATGTACAAAAAAATTTAAACTGAGTAAGACAGGAAGAGAGGACCTAGGGGATAAAGAGGTAATCGACAATGAAAAGGTGGATCAATGAATTTGAGCTCCTAGTGGTACGGGATAATTATTGAGATCAGTATGTTAGAGGAAGAGAGCTGGAAAGTTAAAAGATACTTGAGATTGAGATTATGGTGGGTGGGAGGAGATAGAGCTACAGTGATTGATAATGATCAGTTTTAAGGCATAACCATGGCTAAGGTTAGTTTGAGGGCAAGAATGTTAGAAGAAAGAAGAGCAACATATTGAGAGGCCAAGTTAGTAAGTGGATCATCTCTATGAAGGTGGAAATCAGAAAGAATCATGACAGGTATAGTTTAGGGTGCAAAGATTCAGGGCAGCATTCACATTTGTGGTTGCATCACTTAACGATGTTTTAAAGGCATGCATTTATTTAATTACTTAAGTTTTATTTGTCAGGTTTCCAACAAATGTCAGCTATAAATGTATTATGTTTAGGAAAAACATTTTGATAAAGCAGAACATAAGGATATCTTTATATTTCATATTTATTACTTTCATTCTGTTCTCCATAATTTTTCTAGCAAGTAAGTATCCAATATTAAAAACCTACTCAGCTGAGCATGGTGGCCCACACCTGTAATCCCAACACTTTTTTTTTTTTTTTTTTTTTTTTTTGAGACGGAGTCTCGCTTTGTCGCCCAGGCTGGAGTGCAGTGGCGCAATCTCGGCTCACTGCAAGCTCCGCCTCCCGGGTTCACGCCATTCTCCTGCCTCAGCCTCCCGAGCAGCTGGGACCACAGGCGCCCGCCACTGCGCCCGGCTAATTTTTTTTTTTTTCTATTTTTAGTAGAGACGGGGTTTCACCATGGTCTCGATCTCCTGACCTTGTGATCCGCCCGCCTCGGCCTCCCAAAGTGCTGGGATTACAGGCGTGAGCCACCGCGCCCGGCCCCAACACTTTTAGGGGCAGAGGTGAGTGAATCATTTGTGGTCAGGAGTTCGAGACTAGCCTGGCTAACATGGTGAAACCCTGTCTCTACAAAAATTAGTTGGGCGTGGTGGTGCGTGCCTGTAATCTCAGATACTCAGGAGGCTCAGGCAGGAGAATTACCTGAACTTGGGAGATGGAGGTTGCAGTGAGCCGAGACTATGCATTGCACTCCAGCTTGGGCAACACATCAGACTCCATCTCAAAAAACAAACAGAAGACTTACTCTGTTTATATAGTGGGAAGCTGTCATTTTGTGACATAAGATGTAATTTATGAAATTGTGAAAGGTGAGTACTCATGTTCTTTTTCTTATTTCCGGTCAGAGAATAAAACACTTTTAAATTACTCAGTTTCAGTAAACTATTTTATTAGAACCTATTCTCTCTAAAATTTTGTTTGATGGCCAGGCTCATGCCTATAATTGGCACCTTGGGAGGCGTCTGAGAGCAGCCTTCGGCAACACAGAGAGATCCCGTCGCGACAAAAAATACAAAAATTAGCCGGGTGTAGTGGCGCACCCCTGTAGTCCCAGCTACTTGGGAAGCTGAGTGGGAGGATGGCTTGAGCTTGTGAGGTCGAGGCTACAGTGAGCCAAGATGATGCCACTGCACTCCAGCCTGGGTGACAGAGCAGGACTCTGTCTCAAAAAAAGAAAATTTTATTTAACTTGCACTACATTCATTAAAATATTACTTTCATGTAAGTGTCTGCTACATGCACAGCACTTGAAATCTGAAGAGGTTCATGTGTGTTGGCCTAGTGCGGTGGCTCATGCCTATAATCCCAGCACTTTGGGAGGCCAAGATGGGCAGATCACCTGAGGTCAGGAGTTAGAGACCAGCCTGATCAACATGGTGAAACCCTGTTTCTACTAAAAATACAAAAATTAGCTGGGCATGGTGGCGCGCACCTGTAGTCTCAGCTACTTGGGGGGCTGAGGCAGAAGAATGGCTTGAACCTGGCGGGCGGAGGATGCAGTGAGCCAAGATTGTGCCACTGCACTCTAGCCTGGGTGAAAGAGCGAGATTCCATCTCAACAACAGCAGCAAAACAGAGAGATTCGTGTGTGTGTGTGTGAATATAAATGGGATTGGTTGGTGGTTCCTGGGGTGGTTGTTAATATCTAATCATATTGTATTATGGTCAGAAAATATGGTCTCTTCCATCTGTCTCTGAAGGAATTTTGTATCCCAACACATAATGTTAGTGAGTATCCCACTGTGTTTAAAAACATTGTCACAGGTTGCATTCCCTGGGAAACCAACTCTGAAGTGGCGATATATTTGCAAAAAGTTTGCTGGTTGTGGCCTTAGGATCTACACTTGTGGGGAAGTGAGGAAAAGAGGATGGCCTCAGACAATCCTACCCAGAGCTCTGGAGCTGCAATGGCCCTTCAGAGTTGTCCTCAATGGAGACAAAGGGGTTGGGCCTTTATCTCCCAAACTGTTAAATTACTAGATATGGGTCATTCCAGAGAAGGGGACATGACCTTGGGCAAAGTGACTTTCTTCAGCAGAGGGCAATTCCTGGAGAGAGATTTTGTAGATTACTGTCAGCTCCTGCCACTCCCGGCAGGAATGAGCATTTCAGTTCTAAAGGGCAGAGGGACATCTGAGTGGCTCTCCACAGAACCACTATGCACATTTGTACACACACACACACATATATATATGGCACTTTAGACTACTGCAATCTGATTACCATTCCGTTTAGGTAACTATTTTTGTTTTTCTTTCTGAAAGGTTTTGCACTATCTCTTTGTCTAGGCCTTTGTCATTTATCAGTCATTCTGTTCCATACTCCATGGTCCAATTTAATCTAAGATACACATCTTCAGTCAGCTTCTAATATTTATTATTTTCTCCCCCATTTTATCTCTTCTTGCCTTTATTTCTATAAGAAAGATGTTGAAATTTCTTAACTCTCCTTTCTCTTTTACAGTTTCCATGTAATTATCTTTTTGTGTTATACTCTTGGAGAATAACTCCATTTGATCTGCTGCCTCACTAATTTGCTTGTAAACTGGGCCCACTGTGCTATTTTATTGATTTACAGTGTATTTTAAAAACTTTAACAAATAGGTTTTCAATTTCCAATATCTATATATTTTTTTCCATGGATCCAATATTCTCTTAAGTCTTTCTGAGGAAACCGACTCTTCTATTTTATAGTCTGTTTTTGTTAGCTCTATTAATTTGCTTTGTTTAGGTTTAGGTTCTGTTGGTTGAGTTTTGTGTCTTCTTTATGATATTTGTAAACTTTATATGGTTGGTAATTCCTGGCTGTGTTTTTTTTTTTTTTTTTTTTTTTTTGAGTTCTCTATTTGGTTGGCATAGATGCCAGGGACATGCTGCTAGGTAAGGTATTCTGGTTGCCTTCCTTTCAGAAGGGGGTGCTACCATTTTTTCTGAGTGTCATTAGCTGCCTTCCCATTGCTCTGCCTCTTTAACTCAAGCCCCACATTCAGTGCCTGAGGCTGTGGCTAAAAGTATCATCTGCCTTCTGCTCAACAGAAGCAAGCAAATGTGAAGGCGCTGATTTACTCTGCTGCTCTTCAAGCAGCCCTCCAACTAGCCACCCTGCTTATGGCCCCATGCCCTTCCTCAGCCTTGCATCCATATGTCTGATGTGCAGCCTACCCAGTACCCCTACCCCTTCTGGAGCAGTTCTCTCCTGCATGTTTTAGAGTGTTGGTTTTCCTCAACAATCCAATCCTATCTGCTTTGTGTCTTTTGAAGTTTATAGCCTGTAACAAAACTAAATAAAAACAAAAACAAAAACAAAAAAAACCAAACCCACAAAAACATATATATGTGTGTGGGTGGGGGGTTGGGTACTCTTCCTTGTTTTCCAGCATCACTGGAGATTTACTCTTTAAAATAACACATAGTGAAACAGTATCTCCTGTAAATTCCTGTAAGGACACGGGAAGCAAGGGGATGGTGGGCACATATGGTCTTCTGCCATCTTCATGACACTTCATCTTACTGACTGACATTCTCTATTTCTCCAACACAACAAACCATCTTTAATTCATTTTTCATGCTGCTATAATCTTGTACCTAAATGCCAATATGATCATGTTATTTACTTGCTCAAAAAATCTTTGAAGGCTCATAATTGCCTATGGCCAAATGTCTAAACTCCTTAATGTGGCATTCAAGGTCCTCCCCACTCTTGCCTAAATCTACCTCACTCACACCTGCCCTGAAAGCTTACACATCCCAGTGAAAACACTGTTTCCTCTATAAAAGCAAATTAAGCCTTCCCAATCAGAGTAATCCTTTCTTCTTCAATGTTCCTACAGTAGTTTCCACTTCCAATATAGGCCTTCTTGACTTGCAATTTATATAGCTGTTTTGTGAGCCTATTTTAGTAAGATCCCATTAGATTTCAATCCCTGAACACAATATAAAACTTCCCTTATATTCCGTATCTTACTAATGAACACACAGTAAATGTTTGGTAAATATTTGCTGACTGACATAAAATGACAGTACTTCTGTTCAGAGTGTCAGGATGGAGTAGCAAATAAGAGCGGGGGCTGTGGAA